GCCTGATCGCTCTCGTAGAGCGCCACAACGTAGCTGAATGCCTGCCAAGCAGCAACAATAGTAAGTACCCAGTAAAGCAAGAAAAAACATTTAAGGAAGTACGAGCGAATGCTTACATCCATCAGCTTGATCATGGCGACCTAGCTGCCATGCTGCTGCACGAACGCTTTTGCCCGCCGATTATCTGTCGGGGGCACAAAACTGTGCATGGCCTGCACCATGGCGGGCTGGCACTCCGCCCGTATGTAGCTGAAACCCTCAGGATAAGCAATCCTGGGGCCCGAGGATGAAGCTGATGCAGAGGCGGGCTCGACTGACGCCCGCGCGGTCGCTGACGGTGCGTCGGGCGAACGCACCGTTGTAGGACGAGCCGCCTGAGCGGGCTGAGTCCCCCCGCTTCTTATGCGCCTGGCTAGGGGGACTTCATCCTCCTCGCTCTCTGTCTCCTCGCGCGTGCGTCTGCGCGCGCCCGGGGCCGCCGTCTCAACTCTGTGATCCGCACGTGGCCTTGACGACGAGCTGGATCCCGGTGTGAAGAGCTGCGTGGTTGAGGCGCTGAGGGTGGCCGCTCGTCGAACCGAGTTTGCCGGGGTTGCGCGCTGCTCGCCCCACGCCCTCGGGAACTCTGGGCACGTTGACGCTGACGTTCCAGTATGCTGCTCATTTCACCTGCACAAACAAATGTATAAGCCTCAGCTCGGCTAGAATCCATGTTATATGATGAAAATATACCTTCGCTGATCAAGTTTGTCACATCGACAAACCCGAACACGGCGAGCTGCTCCGAGGTAACCAGGGCTTCTAGATCTATAAGACCCTCCCCCTGCGCATACTTAAGCAGTTGGTTCTTCAGATCTACATCCCGCGGCAGCAGCTGTGGGTAGTTGATGTGGGCGTTTGGCGTGCGCCACTCAGACAGCCGGGCAGCGAGGTCGTTGCTTATCCTTTATGCTCGTGTGTCGCGAACAAAAATAAACTGTCTCTTCCACCTCGCCACTTTGTTTCTCACGTTTTTGAAGAGCTGGCTTTTATCCCTCCCAGAGAGGTAGTACCACTTCGCTCCTCGTGAGTTCGGACACAACCGGCACTGGAATAGCGACCTGAACACTATCGCTTTAGCTGGCACCTCCAATCTTGCGCACAACAGCATAAAGCCCATGATGAACCTTATGCTGTTGGGCGTTAGCTGCGTCAGTGCCAGCTCGTATTCTGCGAGCAGATCGAACACCAGGCCGGGCAGGGGAAACCGCAGGCCGGCGTCAAAGTGGTCCGCATATACTGGGATCCAGCCCGTCCGCGACACCGTGCATGCCCTTTCGTTCTGCTCGCCAGTCCGCAGCAGTATGGTTTTGGGGATGTGGTACGCCCTCACCATCTCCTCGAGCCTTTTATATCCACTTATGGAGGGCGTACAATCTGCTACTTCGTGATGAAGTGCGGCCCTGAACCTGAATCCAGCGGGCAGGTCCTTCGGTGCTTTTCGCAGGTTGCTCAGCCTGCCCGGGATCGTCGTGCTTTCCCATTCCCAATCACCGGCCGATCTGAGACATTGCTCACCACGTCCCCCACCCCTTCTTCACGGCTGGGTGTTTCTTCGCTAGACGAGCTGCTCGACGACGCACTAAGGTGGTCGTCACCGTTGTCGCTGGCGTTGGAATCGGCACTGTTCTCAGACGCCGTTGCTTCCGGTACATCCTGCAACTCCGGCGGCACTATCATCGTGATAGGCTCCACTGACAAAACCCCCTCCTCTTCTCCCTCTCTGCCCTGGTTACCTCGTTGCTCTGTGAGTTCTCTCAATGAAACCATTTTTACCTCAAATAGATGTGAAGTCGATTCGGTGTGCTGTTCTTCAGGCTGGAGCGTTTCGCTTCAGAGAATTTTTGGAAAGTTTAAGCAAATGCAAAATTGAAAATGAAAAAGGGGAACGGTTACGCAGAGAAGGATAGTAGTGTTAATTGCCGTACGCGTGTTTCTGACGCGCCAACTAGCGTCCCACACGTGGCAGACGCTTAACACCTCTCCTGCATAACGTGCGCCGACTTTAGCTGTCACGTCCCTCGAATGCTGATCCAGCATTTATGACGGGGAAGGCAGAGAGATATGGGAAGCTCAATCGTATCTCTTCAGAGATTTGCTTAACTCAAAAATCCCTAGGATTCAGATCGTAACTGCTGAGGTGTACCCTATACTGTCATGTCACCTCGCCATGGCGAGCACACTCACCAGGTCGTTACAAAGATGACATATTGGCCAGATCGGCTCAACCGCGCCAATTCGTTCACGAGTGTAGATCTTTCACTAAGATTCAGCTCGTCACATATCGTGACGACGAGCACGTTTACCGGGTCCTTACATGGACTGCAGCTCACACCAGGCCGCAAGCCTTTGCATAAATTAATGGGTGCATGAGGTCGCCCTATTCGACAACACTACTCGTGCGAGCTGGTAAAGTGACGGTCAAAAACATCAAATCACACTGCATGTGAGGTCGCGTCGCCTCACTTCGTGATCATAGCTAGCTGAGTGTCACCTGGTCACACTTCGGTAATGCTCCAAGGTCAGGTCGCCTTACGTCCGAGCTGAAAGGGCGTTATATACGTGACTTGTCCATGTGCGAGCTCGTCTGTTGTGAATCACTTCAGCTCGCCGCCATCACCAGCCCACACTAATGTGGCTATGAATACCGGCTCGCCCACACGTTTTCAAGCTTGTGAGCTCGCCTTTTTTCCGTTTTACCTTTCAGCTCGGCCTTTGTCGAAGTCGACGGCCCCGTCACTACATCCATCCCAGTTCGTCAACCGAACACTGGGGGGGGAGTAATGTTGGGATAGGCCCAACAAGCCAAACACCCAAACAGGGCTGTGTGAAACGGGCCTAGGCTACCACCCATTAGCCTAAGCTGAAGGAACATCAATGCAAGCATACCCACGTGACCAATGCCACGCGGGTCAAGGGGAGGCTTACACGTGCAGATGTATGTCAGTGCCAAGGGGCTATAAATACCCCCCAACTACCTCCGATGAAGGTAATTAATCTCTACGATTCTCTCTCTGCAATTACTCCTTGAGAGCTTCTCTCTCTAGAACATTGAGTATTGCTGACTTGAGTGTTGGAGTGTTTTCCCCGGGGAAACAACCTCGGGATTTTCAGGTGTGGAAGCAGCTAAGGACTTCAACAGTGTTGGATTGTGAAGCTGCCGAAACAAATATGATTGAAGGGTTGGTGCTTAAAATTGTGTTAGGTTGGTTGGGGGAATGCAAGCCCTACCTTTCCTCGAATACATATTGGACAAAAATTTTGGTTAGTGAAAGGTCATCGTCACAAAATTTTTTCCGTTAAAGGTCACACAAAATACCTTTTTAATTGTTAGGAATAAATTATAATTGTAATTTTTAGTTAATATTTATAATGATTTAGATTTATTATTTAACAAAATAAATTAATATATAAATTAATCTTTTTAAACACTATGACTAAATATTTTAAAAAATATATAAATAAATAGATTAATATTTATCTACCACCATATTTAAAATTATGTAATTTTAATAAAATACTTTATTGAAGAACAAAAAAATACTTTAATTTATATTTAAAAATAAAGTATTTTAATATTTTTAATAAAAATTTATTAAAATAACATAATTTTAATATAATTTTTTTTTTAATTTTAAAAAAATAAGGGCAGATAAATATTATTATTATAAATAAATCAAATTATTCAAAATAAAAACACCTAATGCGCTACGTCATTTGTGTAACCTTGATAATAAAGGTGGGTTAGGTTACGTTAGGTTAGGTTAGACAGTTTCGGAGTGGTTTGACTCAGATTCGGGATTCGGAACGAAAGGAGAGGCGGATGGGTGGCCAACAATAAAAGTTTTCTTTTTTTTTTTTTTTTTTAAAGGGAAAGGTGGGTGACGTGGGTTCATTTGATTGGTATATAAAAACTATTGCTAAATATTAATTTATGTTTTTTA